AGGAAGGAGGAGGAGGAGGAGGAGGAGGAGGAGGAGGAGGAGGAGGAGGAGGAGGAGGAGGAGGAGGAGGAGGCGGACAAGTGTAAACCCGAGACGCATCAACGATGTTGGAATCCACCCTCCCTCCAAGCTCCTTCTTCACTGGCCAATACAAGGGTTTATTTCCACTTAGGGAAAGTGCTCGTTGGGAGAAGATTTCCAAGACCCTGAAGCGTGCCAAGGCAATCATTCGCATGACTTCATCGCCACGAGTCAACCTGATTGTTGCGTCTTGGCGATCCTGAGTCGTGCCAGGACACCATTCGTGGGACTTCATCAACACCGCAAGCAAGCGTCACTTTTGCAACCCGAAAATCCTGAATCGTTTCAAAGCGCCATCTCTGGCACATTATCCACGGTTGCCAGTGAAACTCTTTCATTCTTGACACGAAGGTGGGCTGCGCTGAGGCGGGAAACACATTAAAAAAAAGAGCGTCCTCAATCCGTGAAGCTCTTGCACATGTTTATACACTGTGCGCGGCGCCAAGATGGGAATACCATTTTGAAAAGGAACCGCCCTCAATCCGTGAAGCTCTTGCATCGGTTAAAAAACTTGCGCTTCGCCACAGCGACGGCTATAGTTTGAAAACGACCCGCCCTCCATCCGCGAAGCTCTGGCAACATGTTGAAATTCAAGTGCGCGGCGCTCAGGCGAGTCACATTTTGGAACCGACCCGCCTTCCGTCTGTGAAGCTGTTGCCAGTTTCCAAGCTTGGGGCTCATAAGTGGTGAGGAAGTCTCACGCGAAACGCCCGGCCCGCCCCTCTGTCTGGCCTCGGGTTGCAACAGGGAGGAGTCATTCATAAGGACAAGGAATTTAACCAATCTTGGCATGAAGACGAGTGTGGGTCTGATGGAAAGGTGTACAGAGTTTTTCTGTCGTTTTGGGCTTTTCCGGGCCCGTCCGAAGACCCAGGCCTGCCAGAAGCCGACGCCAGATGAGCAGCTATCCTTGTGGAAAGCAGTTGGGTCCAGGATTCGTTTCCTCAGCACCCCCCTTTGGCTCATGGCAGCGACCAGCTGACCAGTCTCTCCAGCACCAACACGATCTTCATACAACGCTGATCCGCTTCAGCACCGCGGGGCTCTGACCACGAACCGCTGACAGGGTCGGAGGAGGGGGAGGAGGAGGAGGAGGAGGAGGAGGAGGAGGAGGAGGAGGAGGAGGGAGGAGGAGAAGAAGGAGAAAGGAAGGAAAAGGAGGAGGAGGAGGAGGGGAGGAGGAGGAGGAGGAGGAGGAGGAGGAGAAGAAGGAAACGAGGAGAGGGAGGAGGGAGGAGGAGGAGGAGGAGGAGGAGGAGGAGGAGGAGGAGGGAGGGAGGAGGAGGAGGAGGAGCTAGAGGGGGAAGGGGAGTAGGCGCCAGCAGCGCGCGGATGGGGGGGTCGAAGCAGGGGGCCGGGCGCTCCGCCGCCGCCGCCGCCGCGCGGGTCGGGCGGAGAGGTCCGCGACGCGCTGGGCACCGTGAAGCTCGCGCGCCGGCTGCACCCCTTCACGCCCACTGCAGCGGCGCAGGTGGACCAGGCCCGGAGCCACCGCCTCGGGCGGCGGGGAAGGTCCCTCCGTCTCTCGGGCAGCGGCGGCGCCGGCGGCGGCAGCGGTGGCGCCGGCGGCGGCAGCGGCGGCGCAGGCGGCGGCAGCGGCTTGCGCAGCGGCTTGCGCAGCGGCGGCGCAGGCGGCGGCAGCGGCAGGCAGCGGCCTTGGAAGACTGGCCTTGGGATTCGCTCTGGCCCTCTGCGGGCTCCTGCGGCCCCTCCCTGGGCGTTGGGGGGGGGTTCAGCAGAACAACTCAGTGTGAAAGGCCGCTCCGGGGATTGGCCCCGGTCCAGGAGCCGTTCCCCTCAGGACCTGCATCGTGCCCAGGCTTAAGTTGGGCGTGTCCCTCAACAGGAGGAATATTCCAAAATAGTAAATAATCGGGGGACGATTTGTCATTATTCTGGTCCACATGTTTTGAGTATTTCTTTTGAATATCTTTTATTAATCGTCCACTGTAGGGGGACATGCCCGACCTGAGTCCAAGAGCCGTTTTCTTTCAGGACCCGTCTCGTGCCCAGGCAGCTGCGGCAGCGGCGGAGGCCGCGACCGCGGGCGGGCGGGCGGGCGGGCGGGCGGCAGGCGGCGGCGGCGGAGGCTGCGGCGGAGGGTTCTCGGCCAGACGGTCCAGGGTGGCCCCAAGCGACCCCTCAAGTTACGATGTTCCAACATACTTTAGCCTTGATCACGAGAAAGAACTTCCAGCACCAATCAGACAATGCAGGCTCACTTGGAGGTTCCTGTCGAGCGCGCAGAGGCCGCCCGCTTGTCGCGGTGTCATGGCGCCAACCTCGCGGAGCGGATCTCTTTCGGAAAACGATAGGATGGGCCCAGAGTGTTCTGGGGCATTCCGGATTTCGAGGTGGTTTCCGCGCGGATTTTCTTTGGCCAGGAGTGGAGGCCCCCCAAACAATCCACGCGAAATTCATTTCGTTTTTCGCTCGCCGTTTCGGGGCTTTGCATTGGCGGAATCCACGCAGAAATCCGCTGCCGCACGTCTGTAAGGTCGGTGCAATGGCACTTGGAGCAACTGCCGAGTCAGGGCGCCGACGAGACGCTGAAAAGATCGATTCAGGCTGTCAATCGCGGTTTCTTCCCGACCGTCCTGTGGTGTTGGGTCCTCGTCTTGAAGAGACAGCGCCCCGCGTTCCCCCGGTGCAGCGTTTCGTGCCCCCATGGGGAGCGCCACCGAAGCTCCCAGTGGGGCCGCCCGCCTGGCCCCATGTGGAGGTGCTCCGAAGCCCCCCAGTGGGACCGTCCGCATGCGCCCGGGAAGCCAAATTTGGCAGTTTGTACCCGCCTGGCACAGAGTTTCGTGGCCCCATCTGGGAGCTCCACCGAAGGCCCCAGGGCCACCGTCCGCACGCGTCCCCGAAGCCCGAGCTTATGTTTTCACAGTGCAGCGTTTCATGGCCCCGCAGGGAGCTCCACCGAAGCCTCCAGTGGGGCCGTCCGCACGCGCCGCGAAAACCAAATTTGGCAGTTTCGCCCACCGAGCTCCACCGAAGGCCTTAGTGGGACCGCCCGCGTGCGTCCCGAAAACCCAATTTGGCATTTTCACCCACCCAGTACGATGTGTCGTGGCCCCATAGGGAACTCCACCGAAACCCTCAGTGGGACCGCCCGCATGCGTCCCACACATACAATTTTGCATTTCCGCTTACCCAGTGCAGCGTTTCGTGGCCTCATAGGGAGCTCCATCGAAGCCCCCAGTGGGGCCGTCCGCATGCGCTCCGAAAGCTCAATTTGGCATTTTCACATACACCGTACAGCGTTTCGTGGCGCCATTGGGAGCTCCACCTACGCCCCCAGTGGGACCGCCCGCGCGCGTCCTGGAAACCCAATTTGAGATTTTCATTCGCCCAGTACAGCGTTTCGTGGCCCCATATGGAGCTCCACCAAAGCCCCCAGTGGGTCCGTCCGCATGCGCGCCGAAAGCTCAGTTTGACATTTCCACCCACCCAGTACAGCGTTCCCATCGGGAGCTCCACCGAAGGCCCCAGTGCCACCGTCCGCATGCGTCCCACACCTTTAATTTGGCAGTTCCATCCGCCCAGTATAGCGTTTCGTGGCCCCCACCCAGTGAAGCTCTTCGTGGCCCCATAGGGAGCTCCACCGACGGCTCCGCTGCTACCGCCCGCGTGCGCCCCCCCATAAAGTGCAGCGTTTCGTGGCCCCATAGGGAGCTCCACCGAATACCGCCCGCATGCGCCCCCCCCCACCCAGTACAGCGTTTCGTGGCCCCGTAGGGGGCCCCACCGAAGGCCCCAGTGCTACCGCCCGCATGCGCCCCCCCACCCAGTGCAGCGCTTCGTTGCCCTATAGGGAGTTCCACCGAGGGCCCCGGTGCTTCCTCCCGCATGCGCCCCCCCCCCACCCAGTGCAGCGCTTCGTGGCCCCATGGGGAGCTTCACCGAAGAAGATATTCACAATTGCGGTGCTCCAGATTTCGTAATAAAAGGGAGGGGGTCTGGACCCTAAGACAAGCCATTTCAGACCTCCCCCGTGGGAGAACCCTCCAAAACATCGTCCCCAGACCCCCCCAGGCCCTCCAAGATAGCCTGGAAGAGACCCCCCCCCGAAATTAGACCCCCCTCCCTTTATTACGAAATCTGGAGTACCCACAACTGCATGTGGCTGGGTCCTCTGCCAGGAGCTTTGGTTCCCTGGGAGGTCGGGGTGGAAGTGCCGTGCCCGCGAAGTCTCTGCCACCGCCGACCTGCCGGCGTGGCCCTCAAGGGCTTGCGCAGCGGAGCCAGCAGGAGGTGCCAGCCCGCGCGCGCGCTCTCAGAAGTGGAGGGCCGACCAGTGCTGTACCCTGTGTACCAGCTACGCG